ACAACTCTTTCAAGAATTTTAGAAAAAATTGGGAGTATTGATATGGGACGATAGTTAGAGAATTTTTTGTTGTCATCAGCTTTGAAAATGGGGAGGACTTTGGCAATGAAAGGATGGATGCAAGTGGCTCTGCAGCCTGTTTGATAACAAACGGATCTAGACAGTCTGGACCTGGTGATTTATTAGGATTAAGATCTCTTATTATAGCAAATATTTCATTATCATCAGTAGGGTAGAATACAAAAGAGTTGGGGTAAGACCCTGTTAAGAACTGAGTGAATTTTGTTTGAGTATATGGAATTTTAGAAGCAAGGTTAGTACCAACATTTACAAAGTAATCATTAAAGGTATTGGCGATTATTTCAGGATTTGTGATATCGCTATTGTTATGGGTAAATGAATTGGGATAATTGAGCTCAGGTTTAGATTTATTTAATAGTTCTTTCAAAGTTTTCCAGGTAGCTTTAATGCTGGTTTTAACAGATTTGAATTTATGATTATAAAAATGTTTTTTAGCTATCCTGAGAAGATGATTAAGTTTATTCCTGTATATTTTGTACTTTTGTTCATATTTGGCTGTCCTATTTTGCAGGAATTTGCTGTAGAGTTTATTTTTAAATTTGATAGATTTAATTAATCCCGGTGTTATCCAAGGCTTTCGGGATTGGTGTTTTGTTAGTTTAACCTTTGTTAATGGAATATGCTGATTGTACAAGGTATTAATGTGATCAAAAAAAAGGGTATAGGCAGAGTTTGGGTCAGATGTGGAGAATACTGAACTCCATTTGGATGACCTTAAAGAGTCCACAAATCTATTCACATTCTCCCTTGTGTTATTCCTTTTATAAATAAAGGGAGGGGATCTTGGTTTGGGCATATTCACATCCATGATAGAGAAGATGGGTAGATGATCAGAGATGTCAGTAAGTAGGATAGCAGATGAAAAAGACTGGGTATAGTTGTTGGAAAATATGTTATCTATCAAAGTTGCAGAATAGGTAGTGATTCTAGTTGGCCTAAATATAGAAGGACACAGGGAGTGAGACAACATTATTTCCAAAAAAATCACTGGTAAGATTGCATATTTCAGTATTTAGTAAATTTATGTTGAAGTCACCCATAATGTGAACAGACTTATTAGAGCTCCCAAGGCCACCCAATGTATTTTCAATATAGTCATTAAATTTCTTAATATCACCATTTGGTGGTCTATATATTACTCCAATTATGGTACTGGACTTGTCAAATTTTATCTCACCAAAAATTGACTGACATACATTATCATCATTGATTTCAAGGTCATTTAATCTGTTGAAATTAAGATTTTGGTTTAGATATAAACCCACTCCACCACCATGCCTATCACTACGACTGCAAGATAGAAGTTTATAATCATCAATATTATAAAAAGATGAATCACAGTCACTTGGTATCCAGGTTTCAGTGATTCCAATAACTGGGAAGGGGAATTTTAGTAGGTTTAGATAGTTGGTAATTTTGTCAAAGTTGTGTGAAAGACTATGTGCATTAAGATGCATAAGTGAAAAGGCATTAGGGTTTGAAGAGAATTTAGTTTTGAACCTTTCTACTTTAAAATATTCAGAGTCATGGTTTACATTATTGTTGCCAGCATAAAATTGGTTATCTGGATCAAGATCAGGTGAATTTACAAGAGGTGAAGTAAGTAGGTATGGATTGAATACCAGGTCTTTAAAAGAGTCATAGCAAGAGTTTAGTGGACTATAATCCTGAATTGCCAGCAAAAATTCGGTATTATCTTCAATTTGATTGAATGGAAAAATAGTTTGGAGGCAAGGTGAGCAAAACCAATCAATTGAGTTATGGTGTAAGGCAATGTGATCGTCTCTGCTGAATTTAGTGCATTTTAGATGGACTCACTTCTTACACATATCACAAAGTATTGCTTTCTGATTAACTTGGACATATTTGGCACAAGCGCTACAAGATTGCTTCGCCAGTATTATGGGATAATAGAGAGAAAAAGGAAGAAAGAAGAGTCGCTAGTGTAATTATTCTAACGACTTAAGTTATATGAGTATGAGTGATCTTATTAATCAAAGTTCATACCATATTATGTAAGCTTTATATTAATGATATTAAGTTTAAAAGTTTGATTATATATTGAAGTATTTATATTTTGACGATTGTCGATACATTATGACAAGATTTCATAGTATATATAATATCATAAAATTTTATCATAATTGCATGTATAAATATAAATAATTATATAAATTTTGTTTTGTAATTTATAGACAGAAGTATTTATATAATTTTGAGGATAGTCAATAAATTATGAGAAAAAAATATATACCGGTGTTAACCTAGGCACACAAATTGATTAACCTAAACACACAAATTTAGTCAATACAAAATAGTTAATACAAGTAGAGTTCGAATACCTCTTTAACTTAAGCAATTACTTGGTTGGGGGAAGCTTGACTAAATCCTTCGGGTGTTTAATTATGATTTTGTTTTGGCTTCCATTTAGAAGGCATATAATTCTTCCATCTAGGGTCCATGTTGTTGCTACTGCTGGATTATTGCGAACAGTATCCAGTAGTTGTTGCCTTTGGGCAGTTAGGCTTTCGGATAGGCTTACTCCAGATCCCTTTAGTCGCCTTTTGACTTTAAATACTTCAGCTCTCTTATTGTAAGAGCTAAATTTTACAATGATGGGTCGAGGCCGATTTTGATTCCATTTTTTGGTGTTTAATCTATGCGATCTGTCCAGATCAGATTTGTTGATTGGTATGTTTAGCTTTGTGTTGAACAGGGTCACAGCGATATGATAGGTATCTTCCCCCTTAACTTCAGCAGCGCCATGTAGGCTATAAGTATGCAATTTCGGCGGCCATATTGGTTGATGCTGTCTAATTCATCAATCTGTTTGAGCCGATTTTTTTCAAGATCGGCCACCAATTTTTCAAGTTTCGCGTTAAGTTCAGAGTACTTATCCTCTAGGCATTTCTGGTCATAAGATAGACTTTCGTAGACTTCTTGTTTGGCTGACTCGCCGATTTTATTTACAACGGATTCGATTATATTTTCGTCTTTGACAAGTTTTTCCGTCACAACATTTATAAATTCCTCGGATTTAATAACAAGGTCCACAATTGTGCTGGAAAGCGCTTCAGCAATCTTAGATATTAGATCCCGGTCAGTAGAGAATAGTTTAAACAAATGTGATTTGATGTCTTCACCTTCCGTCGCCATCTTGCCTTTCGAAGTTTGGCCTCGAGTGACACTCATTTTTTAACTATAACTTACTTCCGAGTACGTAATTTGTAGGAAATATCGTCAATTGTAATGAAATAATAAATTGGACAGTCAATAGCGAGTATATTTTGGTAGCTGATGGCTGATTTAGTTCATGGTATTAAACTTTATTGAGGAGCTCAGTAGGCACAACCGACAGCCATCATTGTTTTACATTTACAAGCAGAAACTTGTCTGTTTGGACTATTTTTTAGTTCTGGTTATAGGTCACGAGAACAGTATTAATAATAATAAGTTTATAACAGAGCGTATAGTATCTGAATTTTAGATATCGTATGACAACACAGCATAACAACATACCATGCGTAATCTAAAATTATCATAAAATTAACAGTTAATCTGCAAAATGGCTTGAATAATTCAAGTGTCAAACTAAAATTTGAAATACATAATTTATTGTAAAACAGGATTTGCATTATTAATTGCTAGCCTAGAACTCCTGTGGTAATAATTGGCTATTGCATCAACAATTGTTGATGCATGATCTTATAGGTGATAAATGACAAATACATTTTACATTATAAAAGCATATATGATACATCATGTAACGTGTTACGCATGTATTATAAAAGGTCGCTCACACTCAAGAGTGCAGGTAAATGCGTAATACATGTGTAATATATACTCAGCTTCCGCAGAGTATATTATATACATGTACTGTATTACGAATCACGTTTTACTATAGCCCTACAGGGATAATTTCTGATACATCAGGTGCCGGATGCAGTAGCCATGCCCCTACGAGACACGAGGCTATATTTGCATGCGCGCAAATATTATTTGGAAGAAAATTGCATAATGCGGTATGTCTGGTAAAAAAAACAAACAGAAGAATATAATAGCATGATAAGGCCCAAAAAAATAATGCGCAGATACATAAAACCACATATACAATTTAAACTAGTATATCAGGAAGAGTGAAACAAACAAATATTAAGAGATATGCCATATTGTCACACAACTGCCAAATGATATTAGGACTAAATTATGCAAGTTCAGTTTAGGTACCAGAACGACAAAATCGTTTAAATATGAAGTAACAATGACAGTGTCCGTGCAAAAAACTTAAATGAGGTCTAGCTATATTGTGTGAAAAACCGAAGGCAACTTTAATGAGTTTACCACAGCAAACACATCAAATTTGAAAGGCCACAGAACATGTATAGTTCATGATAGTCCTGCTGTCAACAGTATGGCGTTCGGGTAGGGCAGTAAACTATACTGCAGTTGCATATCGAATGACGCATAATTTATAGTGTAAACCTCACGCAAACATACTTTTTATTATAAAATTAAAAAATACTGGGCCAGCTCTTTTGCATGGGTGGGAAAACCAACTTTTTAATGCAAGAATGGCACGCTGGACACAATCTCGTACGTGGCTGTACAAGATGTGCATATAGATCCCAATATGTAGATATGTAAATTACAAGGTGTACAAACGGTCATCTATTTGTTCGCCCACGTCACGTTGTAAATCAGGAAAAGAATTAGGAAACTGAGTGTTCTTATAAAAAATGGCGGCCATTGATGAAACACGTGTGCTGATGATCTCCGAGAGAAAAGAAAATTTCTAAGTTATTTACTGATAGAGTCTGCCTAGTTAACATCAAATCAACAACTTAAAACGAGAAGGAATTCATCTAATTCATCATTAAAAGAAATAAGCAAGATAAAACGTGAAAAATTTCGAGAGAGATATGTCTGTAAACACAACACCCGATACAACGTGGCAACGATACAAAATCGACAGCTTCAAAACCTCAACGGCGAAACGAGTCCCTTATGAAGAGTTAGATTTTACCATCTACAAACCAAATGCTAATCATGTAGCATTCTCTACCACCGAAGAACGTCTCCCGATGTGGATAAAGGCATTGTACCTTCGATACTATAAAGATGGCCTCTACAACAATAATACGGAAATCAACACCAGATGGCTCGAACAATATAACACCGTTGACTCGACCAAATGTGATGAAATAGTCATCCATATCCCCGTAAATGACAAGGACATTGCTCTTACCATCACAGTAAAAGCTTCGAAAGGACGTATTGAAGCGCAAGGTCGTTTTGTCAAAGAATGGGGCGCGAAGGAATTTACATGTTTACGCGCCATGGTCGATGAGCCACGTGATACATGGAATGTCGAATCCATTAAACCCTTCGCCGATATACTCCTTAATAGCAAAGAAAAACCATCATACCGACAATCCCTAGCGGCTAAGGATATAAAGCCTAAAGACAAATCGTCTCCTGAAATCATTGAACAAATCACAATGACTACACCTCGCGAGAAATCGTTTTCCTTGGTGAAAGCTCAACTTGCAAACATTGAAGCAGAATTTACAATGTATCGAGAGAACAATGATCAAACGATGTCACAGCTATTCAAGTTGATAGAAAAGAAAGACGAACAGATAAACGCTCTGAAAAATGATATTTGCAAGCTAAAATCGATTGACAAAGAGCAGCAACAAGTTCTCAGTGATCTCACTGTAGAACACTTAAAAATGGAACAAGATATTGAAGCCTTAAATAAAAGATGTCAAAAAACAGAGGAAAAGAACTTGAGCTTGTTAAAATCATTAAACAAGAAAGAAAAAGAATCGGAATGCGAAGATCTTTCTTGGGCCTCCATGTCTGCCAAGACTGCCACACTTCCACCTTCAGGCAACACCAACACCTACACCATACCCACATCAAACAGTTATGAAGCCCTTTTCAATGAAGAGTCTGAAAACAATACCAGCAATGATACTAAAAAGAGAACGAAAGCCAAAAACCAACTCCGCAAACAAAAAACCAAGAACCAGAGAACGAAAACCCAGCTATACCACCACAAAATCATACCAATACTGCGGAAACCATCATCTTATGCGACAGTAACGGACGATATCTTAAACCAAAATTACTCTGCCCAAATACAACAACTAGCTATATTCGTTGTCCAACATTAACAAAAGCTAGACAAATAATCCAGAACACTACCTTTACTGATCCAAAAAATTTTATTTTACATTGTGGAACCAATGACATCGAACACCTCCAACCTGAGCAAAATGTTGACAAGGCGATTGAAGATATTGTTGGTCTAGTCAAAGAAAAACATCCCGAATGCCGAGTGATTATCTCTGGTTTACTGCCAAGAAGAGATGAACTAAATAAAAATATCACCTCTATCAACAATGGAATAGAAAAAGTCCTAGAAAACAAACAAAATACCTCCTTCATCCACCACGAAAACATCAGTACAGAGAAGGACTTCTACGATAACAAGCACCTTAACGAAAGAGGAGTAAAATTCTTTGCGAAAAACATTAAGGGTGCTTACTTCAACACGAAGCCAAAGAAGATGCCCTATATAAGAAAAAACCCTAACCCTTACCCCACCTACAAAGGAAACATTCCGCAACATACATACCCAGCCACATTCAATCTAAAGTACCCAATTGCCCCTAATTACCATCATCGACCATTTACACCATTCCTAAACGTACCACCACCGAATATGCTACAAGATGCCAGCAGATATGCTTCATCCAAGCCCTTGAGTCCCCAAGAACCTACTACGAAACCACTACCAACTGAACTGATTGGGCTGATAAAGCAACTATATGGCTGTATAAATGAAAACAAATAACTGTGA